GGGTGGCTCCCGGGTTGGGAGCTGCTGGAGGGATTCTCAGGGCTCAGAGGCCCGCAGCCCCGAGACAGGCCCGGAAGAGGTGCAATTCAGGGTGCACTTTTTTTTCCCTTTAAAGAAGAGACGCTGCTAAGATCCCCCCTCCACCCAAGTGTCGGGGTGTCTGTCTTGTCCTCTGACTGTCTTGTTGTTGTGAAGTCTTTTGTAGACACCTCAGAGCACACAAACTCCCTTAGTCAACCGGTTAGATGTTTTCTTTAGAAAATCAGGGGCGAGTAGTCCTATTTTCTAAGGGCAGGGGTCAGGGAGAGGGCAGCTCCAAGGCTGGCAGGGGGCCCTAGTGCCAAACGAAGTCCTGACCTCAGTGAGCACTCTGGGGGGTGGGTTTCTGCCCCCTGGAAGGCCATGAGCTGGGATAGCTGCTTATATAGGATAGAGGACACATGAAGGGGGATTGAGCAGATTTCAAGGGTCAAGGGTACCCGCCTGGTCCACGCAGGTGCCCCTGGACTCGGCTGTCGGTTGTGTGGGACTTACTGCTGTAGCTGCGGCATAGGCCCAGGCTGCAGCTGTTTCTGGGGTTGTGCTCACCCCCCACAGCAGCCCTTCTCCTGCCCTAGTGGAGTTCAGGGTACAGTAGGTCCCACGGGGTTCTAAGCAGGGGGCCACCTGCCCGGGCCTAGGGACCAGCCCCCTCTCTCCCCTCAGCTCCTTCACCCTCTAGGGGGTCACCTGGAGACTGAGGTCCTCGACCCCCTGATGGCCCATCCCTGGGTCTCTGTCTCCTGTCCCTAAGGTCAGGTCTCTCTGTAGGAGTGCTTTTCAAATGGGTTCTGGACGGGTGTTTTTATTTAGATAGTCATGCATTTTTCCATTATTTATTAGAAAAAACACAACGTGTTGAACCTGTGATTTCACAGGCGTAGTGCTTAGGTCAAGGCTGAGTTCTGAAAAGCAAGTCCATCTAAAGTCACTTTAAGGAAGGAGCGTCTGCAGCGGTGTCTGCAGATTCAGCAGAAGTGCAGCAGGGTTGGCAAATGCTGTGCTTTGGCCGTTGGGGGCTTGGCCTCTGCTGACGCCTGCCCAGCTGTGGGGGACGTCCTTGCTCCCAAACCCTGACTTCAAAGACCTTGGCTTCCAGAGGGCTGTGTGGACAGGCTCTGGGGGAATTCTAGGCTGCCCCGGGGACCCTCGGGGCCTGGGTGCTATAGCAGAGTGGAGAGGAGCGGGGTGATGGGGTTCACTGCCTGGAGGCCCTTCTCAGAGCTGAGGGGTGGGGGGGGAAGTGTCCTCAGGCCCACTGTGCACCTGAGGAGACCCAGGCCCAGAGGGGAAGTGGCTCTGGGTCCTGCAGGGCCTGGCAGCCAGGAAGCTGGGGCATCGGTGAACAGCCGGTGGAGGGCCAGGACCTCACACCTGGACAGTGTAAGAGCATCCCGGATGTTAAAGGTGGGCGATTTGGGGCGTCCAGCCTGGCGTAGGGCTGGTGTGCCCGTCACCTTCACAGGGACAAGTCCTGACACTGTCC